TTCGTTAAGTACTGATGGACAGTCCAAACGTTTTTCATTCTTATAATAAAACGTTTAAGGTGAAAATAACTTCCATATTATATGAGAGATTTGGCTATGATATTCTTCTTGATTCTTCTCTTCATCATTCAGATAGTAACACTGCAAATCAAACACGAATGTGTCATAATTTGAAAGTGTTTACCGCCCAATAATTTGTTGAGAGAAGGGTTAAAACCACCACACCGGAAAGAAAGATTTAAAATCCTACAAGGAAATCACCGAGAATACTAGCTAGGATAGTTTGAATCACAAAAGATTCATCCGTGATGATGCTACAAACGACACATCAACATTCTTTCACGGAAACTGAATCCTCCAGTGATCGCATTGGATTCCGAAGCACACAATTGCCATAAACAATTTAAAAAGTTCTTGTCTGATTTAGACTGTAAAATTTCTGACAGCATTTCAACGGTAAAGGAAATTTTATCGGACTTTATGCCGAAACCTCATTGAAAATGGCCAAGAAAAATGCCGGAAAAGACATCATTCGTCGCACAGAAACGAAAAAAGAATAAACATTTAAAATTACTGTTTTGTACTGACTTCAAACATAGATTTCCATTAGTATCAAGTCAGAGGTTTGGTATTTTTTGTTAATTAATTGAAATTTGTGAATTTCCGAATGTTTTGCTATAGGCTCCGGTCCTTCAGTTTAAATGCTGGCGAAGTTTCAACAAATATTGGAAAAACTGTACTCGAAATTCAGCAAAACTAACTGCTTACTTTGTCAACATATTTTTGTGATTCAATTTTTTCTACCAATAAATGTAATTCAAAATTTTGTTGACTTGATATATAAATGCAAGTCATCTTCTAATTAATCATTTTTCAGCCATAAAATATTGTCACTGATAGCATTAGCGTGAAAGTAATATTTATAACATCTTCATTTAGCATGTTGGACATGTTTTCAAGTTTCATTTACCTATCAACTATTTAACGTGGTAAATGTTGAACTTTGAACATTGACCAAAAGTTGTCAAACATCCATAAAGTTAGTCTGTCAAGTATTCCTGATGTAATTTCATCCTATAACATATTAAACAAATAATTATGATTTTATTTGATAATCATATTTAACGGTATGTGATGATAACTTCCGAAATTAGAATAATTCGGGGACAGATTCTATTTCAAAAATTGAGTCATTCGGTAAATTTTCATTTGAGACAGAAATCTGTGTAATATTGCTACAAATTTCCATGCCAAATTATAAAATATCTAACCATAAGATGAAAGAATGATTGCGTTAATGTTAAAAGAAACCGTGTCGTGGGAGGTCCTCAGTTTGATGACATTCAATGACTGTCATCTCATCAATCACCCCGCGACAATTTACATTACCAAATCCAATAGTGCTGCTGATCCAGAGTTTTGCACTACTCTATTGTTGCCAATACGATTAATGTCCACTCCATTCATCCAGTCCGATTCGATTCAATTTTCTCCGGAATTTCTTTTCCC